ACTTGGCTCGTGGCCTTGCCCTTCCTGGTGTGCCCGACGGTTCGCTGGCTCTGTTCCAGGGGCACGTGCGCTACTTTGAGGAGTTCCACCGGCCTGTTAAGCATGCTGCCCTGGTGACTGGGTGCTCTACTTGGTGGCTGCAGGCTCGTCATGGTCTTCAGCTTCCGGTCACTTGTCAATGTGGTCTTCAGGAGCCCAGCCGGCCTCACTTGCTATGGTCCTGCCAGCACACCAGACAGTTGGGCCCTCCTGGGGCTCCTACCAACCGTGTCGAGGAGAGATTGCTGGCCAAGATCGTCGAGGAGATGCCTGCGCCACCGTTGGTGTTGGACGTTCCCGACTTCGTCGAGTCGTTGGCGGAGGAGATCGGCCGTTTACCTGAGGATCCGCAAGGTCACCTGCTTGCTACTGACGGCTCAGCGATCACGGAGGTCGCTTCAGCTGCCATCGCCTTCTTGGATGGCCCCACTTTGGGCTTAGGGTTGCCAGGTGAGGACCAAACGCCGTACCGTGCTGAGGTCCAAGCTTTGCTCTGGCTCTACGAGGCGCTCCTCTGTGCTCGGCGCAAAGGGCTCTACTTTGTTGTCGTCGATTGCATGTCTGCCATTGACGCTGTACATGGTCATGGACGTTTGGCCAAGATCCTTGACCAATTTGCAGGGATGCAGGCTGCTCTCGATAGCCATGGTGTTAGGGTTGTTTTGCACTGGACGCCTTCCCACGGGAAGAAGGCTCCCGACACCTGGCGACCTCCTGGACAGTTTTCTGAAGCTACGGTGCGCCTCCTGAATCACCGGGCTGACCTCGAGGCTCGCCGCATTGCTATGCGAAGGGCACAGGGTTCTGGTAGGCAGGCTTGCTGTCAGGAACGTGCCGCTGCGAAGGCGTGGGAAACAGCCGCCATTGCTGCACTCCACAGGATCTCTGGCGCCTTCGAGGCGTCCCACTGTGCCTGAGGCTCTTTTGGCGGCTCCCTTCGGTGAGCTTCTCCTTGACGGCGTCTTTGTCTTCGGGCTTGCGGCCTCTGGTGCAAAGACGACGGCACGTACTGTTGACCAGTGTGGCTCCTTGGTTCTCTTCGCCTACGGCT